TATGGAGTGTGGACTGGTAGCTGGAGAGGTGCCAGTTTCACCTCCTGTGCACTGCTGAGGTGCCCTTGAGCAAGGCAACCTAACCCCAAAACCTGCTCATGGGGCGCCGGTAACATTGCAGCCCCATCACTCCACCATCTCTCTCCCCTTTACATGTCCACAAGTGCATGAAGTATGCATTTCAGCCTGTGTGTATACAAAAAAAGAGTGAAAAGAACAATTTCCCCCTAGGGGATCAATAAACTTCTTCTTCTTCTTCTTCTTCTTTTTAAACACTAAATACATGGTGTGATCAAGTGACCCTCAGTGAGCCACAAAACACAGCAGCCAGCAGTTTTAATTTATGATAACACTGTGACCATAGGAGAGCCATAATCTTCCAATTATAATGTAATAGATTGTAAATTGTAATAAATTATAATGAAAAGATCAATCCCTTCAGGAAAGGCCAGAGGATATGTTGCCTACAGCACCAAAATGTCCAGAAGGGGCTCTGACCACTAGTAAGCTTTTGGGAAAACTGGTGGAATAAAAATGTGTCTCTGTTTTCTGTGGCTTCTCTTTGGTCTCAGGTTGATCAACATTAGCAGATGTCTCATTGATAAATGATTCACTAAAGCCCAAATCTCTGTGTTTGCAAGCAATACATCACACCCTCTCTGTTTTATTATAAAGAGTGTTTCTCTCAGTGATATTTACCGTCTTAAAACCTGCTCCACTTAGACTTTTCTGCCAGCTACTGTGAACCACTATGTCTCAGAGGTCTATTGGTTTCCAGCTTGGGGCTGAAACCACTTAAATATGCAGGTCAGACCAGAGGTTGAGCCTCCAGCTCGCTTTTCATGTTTAATTGCTCACTTCTCCGCATCCATTTATCAAAGTTTCTTCCCAAAGCAGCCCTTTTTAAACGCTTAACAGCGAAAAACTGTCAAGGACAGATTTCTATTTTGCAGTCTTTGTTTTCTACTTGCAAAGCTTTTACTTTTACAGATGTGACATACATACATTACCTTTCAGATTGACCAGGATGCCAGAGAGGACTTCAACTTGACATCGGATGTGGAATTTAACAGCATCAAATCGCTAATTCTGGGCAGAGTGCAGGGTAAGTGGGGCTCTCTTGGTGCAGACTCCAGCACTTATCTCAGTGCTGTTATTCAAATGAGTCTGTCTGTTTGCCCTCATGCGACAAAAAGCTATTCTGAAGCTTTCTGCAGTTTTCTAGTCATCAGGTTGGGTGGACTAGAGGGAAATCTGCAGTCTTAGCAACAGCTGTGGTGCTTTAAAAAAAGTTGACATCCATATTCAAATAGTCACAAACAGAGCACTTCATGTGGAGATGCAAAATAAGAACAACCTTTGAAATGACTAAAGGTGGAGCCACCCACTTAAGTCATTGTTATATGGCATTGGATGCATTTTAGACCCATATGGGTGGGTAAAGTATTTGTGTAAATGGCATTGTCTTTTCCCTAATTATTTTTCACTAAGTTCAGAAAATACAGTATATGCTGGTGAACTTTTGTCTGTGTTATTGAAGCGGTGAGCAATACAGTCTTTATGTCTGTCTATCTGAGCGGGGCTTGAGACAGCAGCAATGGTAATAACTTTAGAAAAGGTCCTTCACTTTGTATGGTAATGAGAAGAGATTGAAAAGAGCAAATGATTTAGAAGATTGGAGTCAGCACCCTGCGATTCAGCATAACAACCAATAAGTCTCAGCTGCTGTGGGTGGGGTCAAACTAAACCAGGAAGTCAGACAGTACAGTTCAGTACCTCTCTGTGCCTGACAGAACATTATACTTTCACATCGCTCCTGTCATCCTCACTGCCCTTCCCGGGCTTCTCTTAAAGTGGAAAGACTTTCTACCAGAGTTGTGATGCCTTTGTGTTTTCCTCTTTTATCTAATATTTACTTTTGAATCAGTAATTAGCAAGAAACAGAACTGTGTGTATGTGTATTGTATAAAAAAATCTATTGAATATCCCAACCCTAGACTGAGAGGATGACCGGGTTTTGAACTGCAGTAATCTGTTGTGCCTGGAGAAATGGGAATACTCTAAATTTATGCCCCACATTTTTTTTTATAGCAGCCCTTCCAGCCAAGGATAAACGCCCTGTGTTATAAACACTGACATGTAAGACTACTCTTGCATATTAAGCTCACCCAAAAATGGGCCAGTAGTATTTGTACATTGTCACTTAACTTTTGCAGCTTGACTTCAGGGAGGAAGGATCATTGTGAAATAAACATTAGCCACAGAAGAGGTGCAGATTTTGCATACAATACCAGCATAAATGATGCATTTTAGGTATTCCTTATTCCTTACTCAATCCAAACCATGAAAACTATGTCATGCCTTCGCCAT